CAGGAACAAGCTGATCTGTTACTTTTTTTGTGTGTGTTGTTGTTGTTGTTGTTGTTGGTCGTGGGGCCTGGGCGCTGTCCCTCAACTCTTCAGCTGAAGGCTAGCGCTCTACCACCTGAGCTTCAGCCCCACTTCCGGCTTTTTCTGCTTATGTGGTGCTGAGGAATCGAACCCAGGGCCTCATGCACGCAAGGCAAGCGCTCTACCACTGAGCCACCTTCCCAGCCCTCGTCTGTCACATTTTATAATGCAAATGGTCCAGTAAGTCATACAATCTTAATTATAGCAAGTAGTGGAACTTCCCAGTTTTAACATTTTAGAAACCAGTATTGTTTTAACATTCAGACATCAGCATTTTAATTTTTAGGGAGGGAGAGGGGGGAAGCTCCTACTACATTAGAGATGGAGTCAGTTTCTTTTCTTTTGGCTCCTCTTAATATCTCCCACCCTTCCTCCCTTCCTTCCTCCTTCTCTCTCTTCCTTCCTTCCCTCCCTCCTCTTCCTCCTCCTCTTTCTTCTTTCTTCCTTTTTCTCTTTCTCCTCTTCCTTCTCCTCCTTCTATAAGGGTTTTACTAAGGAGCCCAGGATGGCCTTGAACTCACAATCCTCCGGCCTCAGCTTCCCTCCAAGCCCATGAAATAGATCACTTTTTAGTAAATGGTTTCTCTTGCTTTTTTCAATTCCTGTTGTTTGCATGAATCAGTGCTTCATTCCAGTTATTTATTATTTTTGGGCAGGGGGCTTGAACTCATGGCCTCAGTGCTGTCCCTGAGCTTCTTTTGCTCAAGGTTAGTGCTCTACCACTTGAGCCACAGCACCATTTCTGGCTTTCTCTGAGTAGTTTATTGGAGATAAGTGTCTCCTGGACTGTCCTGCCGGGGCTGGTGCATATCTCTGCCTATTTAGTAGCTAGGATTATAGGCTATCGGCATTAGCCACCAGTACCCCACCAAACATTTTTTACAGAACTCCAACCCTGGGGCTGGGAAGGTGGCTAGTGGTAGAGCGCTTGCCTTGCGTGCATGAGGCCCTGGGTTTGATTCCTCAGCACCACATAAGCAGAAAAAGCCAGAAGTGGGGCTGAGGCTCAAGTGGTAGAGCACTGGCCTTGAGCTGAAGAGCTGAGGGACAGCGCCCAGGCTGAGTTCAGCTCCCATGACTGACAAAAAAAGAACTCCAACCCTTTCTTTTCTTTTTTTTTTGTCAGTCATGGGGCTTGAACTCTGGGCCTGGGCGCTGTCCCTCAGCTCTTCAGCTCAAGGTGAGCACTCTACCACTTGAGCTACAGCACCACTTCTGATTTTCTGGTGGTTTATTGGAGATAGGAGTCTCACGGTCTCTCCTGCCCAGGCTGGCTTTGAACCACGATCCTCAGATCTCAGCCTCCTGAGTAGCTAGGATTACAGGCGTGAGCCACCAGCGCCCGGCTGAACTCCAACCCTTTCATCAAGTAGAATGTATGCCAGTTCTGATTAACGGGCGAGGGCTGAGCAGGGGAAATCAGAGGGAGACAAAGTTGGGATATGTCAGCCCCTGATACAACCTCTGCTCCAGCGCCAGCTGGGCAGACCTATCTGAGTGCCAGTTTCCTCCCAAATAGGACCATCCATCCCCTTCTGAGCCCGAGATTGACCTGGAGGCACTCATGGAACTCTCCACAGAAGATCAGAAGACTCAGTTGGAGGTAGGTTGGAAGTTTGGGGGCTTGGCCACTGGAAGCTGGGTTTAGACCAAGGGAAATCCAAGAACCTGGGATCTCCCTCCTTGGGTGGTAAGGAGAGAAACATTCAGAGGGGAGAGAATTCTTGGTTGACGAGTGGGGCTTGTGGGATAGCTCTGCGGCTTGGGGAACCTACTCTCTGTTCTCTTCTCCCCAGGCCATTCTTCAAAACTGCCCTCGCCCCACAGAGGTAAGAAAGTTCTGCTGGTCTGGGGGTAAGAGGACACCCTGAAGAGGAGGGCTTCTAGTGAAGAGGAATATTTGAAAGAGAGGCTTGGGGTCAGACAGGGTGGCTCAAGCCTTTAATCCTTGTTTTTTGGGATGCAGAGATCATTGGATCATGCTTTGAGGCCAGCCTGGGGAATAAAAAATTTGTAAGACTAGATTTTAAGAAATGTCTGGGCCAGGGGCTGGGAAGGTGGCTCAGTGGTAGAGCGCTTGCCTTGCATGCATGAGGCCCTGGGTTCGATTCCTCAGCACCACATAAGAAAAAGAAAAAAGCCGGAAGTGTTGCTGTGGCTCAAGTGGTAGAGTGCTAGCCTTGAGCTGAAGAGCTGAGGGACAGCGCCCAGTCCTAGAGTTCAGGCCCCACAACCAGACCCCTCCCCCCCCCCCAAAAAAAAAAAAAAAGAAAAAGAAATGTCTGGGCCAGGCACTGGTGGCTCACACCTGTGATCCTAGCTACTAAGGAGGCTGAGATCTGAAGATCACGGTTCAAAGCCAGCATGAGCAGGAAAATCCATGAGAATCTTTTTTTTTTTTTGGGTCTGGTTGTGGGGCCTGAACTCTGGGCCTGGGCGCTGTCCCTCAGCTCTTCAGCTCAATGCTAGTGCTCTACCACTTGAGCCACAGAGCCACTTCTGGTTTTCTGGTGGTTTATTGGAGATAAGAGTCTCATGGACTTTCTTTTTTTTTTTTTTTTTTTTTTTGGTCGGTCGTGGGGCTTGAACTCTGGGCCTGGGCTCTGTCCCTCAGCTCTTCAGCTCAAGGCGAGCGCTCTACCACTTGAGCTACAGCGCACTTCCGGTTTTCTGGCGGTTTATTGGAGATAGGAGTCTCACGGTCTCTCCTGCCCGGGCTGGCTTTGAACCGCGATCCTCAGATCTCAGCCTCCTGAGTAGCTAGGATTACAGGCGTGAGCCACCAGCGCCCGGCTCTCATGGACTTTCTTGCCCAGGCTGGCTTTGAACTGTGATCCTCAGATCTCAGTCTCCTGAGTAGCTAGGATTACAGGCATGAACCACTGTCACCCACTAAGTCTGGGAGATTCTTATCTTCGATTAACCAGTAAAAAGTGGAGATGTGGCTCAGGTGGGTACAACACCTGTTTAGCAAGTGCAAGGTCCTGAATTCAAACTCTAGCACTTTCAAAATTAAATAATAACACAAAGGTTGGCCCTGGATCTTTCTCCTCCCTGGCTCTGAGACAAGACATAGAGGGATTTAGGAATGGCTGGGGAAGAGGAAGAGAGAAGTGTGATGGGTGGGCATGGATTCTTCACCTCACTTTTATCTTTTCTCCTTCAGCCTTTTATCTCTGAGCTGCTCAGTCAACTCAAGAAACTTCGCAGACTCAGCAGGCCTCAGAAGTAGCCTGGAGATTCAACAGCCCGAATACCACCAGGCTTTCCTGGCGGGGTACCAGCTGGGAGGGAAACAGCTGTACAGGACATGGACAGAATGTGCAGGATGAGGAGGGACATGTGTATGCCCTGGAATGTGTGCTCTCACAGCTAGATTTGATTGGCTGCGCTTCCGGGAACCATTGGCTATTGTCTAATGCATATCTGGTAGCAAGTGGATAAAACTTTCAGGAACCCCAGCTAAATGGAATGTTGTGCAGATCTGTGTTGAAGGGACAGCCGAAGGGAGAAGGTGAAGTGATACCTTGGAAGACCAATATCTAAGGCACTAGGCAGTACCCGCACACCTCACCCCATCCATCCATCCATCCATCCATCCATCCATCCATCCATCCATCCATCCATCCATCCATCCATCCAGCCACCCACTCACCCATACATCTCCTACTCATCTATCCACCCACCCATTCAAATAAGTCTTAAAAATCCAAAAATGAGCCAGGTGCTGGTGGCTCACACCCATAATTCTAGCTACTTGAGAGGCTGAGAAAAATCAGAGACAGAAAAATCATGAGACCCTTCTTAAACCACAGCTGGTTGCAATGGTACGAATCTGTCATAGGGCTATGTGGGAGGCTGAGATTGGGAGGTTCGAGGTTCTAGGCTAGCCCAGGCAGAAGTCTGTGAGAATCTTGTCTCCACAGAAGGGAAGCTAGAGGAGGTGGTATGTGCCTGGGACTCCTGCTGAGAAGCCTAATAGGCTGATCACGGGTGGGAAATGAGTCCTCAGTTCAAAGTCTCCAGTGATCCCTCACCCCACACATGGAATTCACAAGGGAGGTTCTCAGCTCTGCTTTGAGATCATATTCTAGTAAGGCCCTCAGGCCCAATCTGGCTAAGATACACAGCATCCTGACATCATCAAGAGGAATCCAAGTGACAAAGATGATTCTGAATCCTGGGGGGTGGGAGGGGGGGTCTCTCTCCCTCTCTTGAGTTGGCACTAGTGGGGTATGAAAGAACACAGAGGCTGCCAGGTGCTGGTGGCTCACGTCTGGAATCCTACTCAGGAGGCTGAGATCTGAGGATCACAGTTCAAACCCAGTCCGGGCAGGAAAGTCTGTGAGACTGTTATCTCTCCAATAAACCACCAGAAAACCGGAAGTGGCGTTGTAGCTCAAGTGGTAGAGTGCTAGCCTTGAGCTGAAATGCGCAGGGACAGCGCTCAGGCCCAAGTTCAAGCCCCATTACCGGAAAACAAAACAAAAAACTAGAGGGTATGTAGAGGAGTGTATGTGTCACAGGGTATGGGTCCCGGGCACTGGTCAAGACTTGGGTGAGAGTCTATGGTAGGAGGATTGGGACCGGAGCCCTGAACTGAGCCCTCCTTGGTGAATAAGGAAGTTGCCTGTGCGTGTAGGAAGCAGTTTGGAGGAATGAATATTCGTACATACTTTGTATGAGGCCCCTGGGGCAGGTGGGACTGTACCTGCTGGGAGGGGCTAGCGGGATGGCTCAGCCTCTCCTCTCATTCTGGAATTCTGCTTATGGCCTGCTCTGTTCTGCCTTTACCACCTCACAGGGCCAGAGAGGTCTAGAGATCTCAGTGTACCTCAGTGAAAAATGTATGCTTAGCACGTGTGAGGTTCTGGGCTCAAATCCCAATACCACTCCGGATAAAAAGAGAGAAACTGCACTCAATGAATCAACAGACTTTATTAGATCCATAACATGTCAGGGTAGGGCCCTGGACCTTGAGTCAGGCTGCCGGCTCCTCCTCAGGAGGAAGAGCTTCCTCCTAAGGAGCCTTAGGTTCTTTCTGGTCTGGGGACCTGGCTCAAGCGGTAGAGCACCTGATTAGCAAGCATAAGCTCCTGAGTTCAAACTCCAGTGCTGTCTTCCCCATCCTAGCTCTCACTTTCATTCTAGGCTTCTTGGAGAAGGACCTCCTCTGCTTCTCTTTCCCTCTGACTTCTCCAGGCATCCTCTCCAAAGGGACACTGAGGTTCAGGCTGTGGTGTGCCTGGTCCGCTGCCCCTGGTTGCTGAGATTGGCTCCGGAGGTAAGAGCCCGGCCTGCAGGCCGCCGGTATCCCTGCCTTCCCTGGAGGGCCAGGTTTCCCTCAGTGCTCATGGCTGTTTCGCGCTGGGTGGTAGGCTGACACTTGGTGCTCTTTAAGCTCAAAGGCATCATGGCCCTGCCTGTAGAGCAAAGGGATGCAGGTCAAGAATCACAGGCAGACCTCCTGCCCGCCCCCCCCCCCCCCAGAACATTCTACCTGCACACACCGGAAGCAGCGGGCACAGTAGAGGTCTCCGTCGCAGCCAGCGCAACGCAGTGTAGCATCCTCATTGCAGATGCAGCACCAGGGCAGCTCCTCCTCCTCACACTCAGGCCTGGGAGCCACAGCCTGGGCCTTCGGGAGCTTGGGAACATGGGAGCGGTCAGCCAGGCAGGGAGGCAGGCAGGGGGAGGCCCGGAATGTGTGTCTGGGGGCTTTTCTCACCTCAGACTTTGCCAAGAAGGGTCTGGGTTGGGAGCAGGGAGCACGCTCCTCAGGGATGTTGTAACCACTTGCCTCATCCAGGGCAGCTTCTTCAGAGAGCTACGGACAGGCGAAACGGTGCTACTCCCTGCTCCAGGTCAAGCTCCCTGTCCCAGGATTTCTGTGCTCTGGCTTCAGTCTCTCAATTCCTCATTTACCTCTTTTTTTTGGAGGGGTGGGTGGGTGGGTGGGAGACTGGTCACATGGCTTGAACTCGGGCCCAGGCGCTATCCCTCAGCTTTTGTGCTCAAGGCTAGTGTTCTACCACTTTGAACCACAGTACCACTTCCAGCCATTTTGGTGGTTAACTGGAGTAAGAGCCTCACACTTTCCTGTCCAAGCTGGCTTTAAACCTCTATTCTCAGATCTCAGCGCGCGCTTGCTTGTGTGTGTGTAGCTAGGATTAGGTATGAGCCACTGGTGCCTGGCTTCTAGTTTACCTCTTGCCTGCAGGTGCTGACTTCCCATCTCAAGGGAGCAAGGAACAGTAGGGTCCCAACTAGAACAGGAGCTACAGAATCACTGTCCATCCAGCCCTAGAGTGGAGGCCAGGCAAAGGGGGCCAGCAGTGAGGCAGGGAGGTGTGAATGGTGCCCAAGCCAGGCCCACCTGCTGCATGACTCTCCGGATAGCAGTCTCCTCATCCTCCTCCTCGTCACTGTCTGGAAGGCGATAGTCCTGCAGGGTCACTTGAATAAGGGAGAGAGGGGAATAGGAAGAGGGTGGGCAGTTTTACCTAATGGCTGTCCATTTGCTTCCACAACTGGCTCATTTCCCAGGAGTGCTTGTTCAGAGCTGAGAAGCCTCATTACCCACCCTGATCACACCTTGTCCCTCCCTCCCCCACTCCTGCAGGACTGGGCCACCATCACTCAAGCAGCCTTAGTGCAGAGTAGGAAAAGCAGCCTCAGCACCCAAGGGGATGGAAGGTCCCCCTGCTCTGGGATGGTCATGGCTCATGGCAAGGCTGGACACAGGGACCCCTGGTACCTGCCTCAGCCCTGGCAAGGAAGGTGGCCTAGGGAGACTTGCCTTGGCCAATGGACACCAGTGAGTGGCTGGCTCCGCCGCTTACCTTTGTCAGGGTCTTGTCCCCGCAGCACAGCTAGCCGCTTGGCCAGGGCCAGGATACGCTCCTGCCTGGTGTTCTCCTCCCGTAGCTCCACCGCAGCCTGGGCCAGCAGCCTGCTCTTCTCCTCCTCCAGGGACTGGCTGGCCTGCCCCTGGGAATTAGTACATGGGTTCCCAGCACCACCCTGGTTGAGGTCATTCTGGAGGGAGGCAGCTGGTAGGAGTAATGAAGTCAGAGAGGCAGAGGAGGCATTTGAAGATCCCACCCTAGACACCTCTAAGCCCATTCTCAACTCTCTGTGTGTGTGTGTGTGTGTGTGTGTGTGTGTGTGTGTGTGCGCGCGCGCGCGCGCACACGCATGTGAGTATGTGTTTGTGTGTGTGTGCCAGTTCTGGGGTTTGAACTTAAGAGCCTAAGCACTGGTTCCTGAGATTTTGTCCTCAAGTTTAGCACTCTACCACTTGAGCCACAGCTTTACTTCCAGCTTTTTGGCGGTTAATTAGAAATAAGTCTTATGGACTCAAATCTCAGATCCCAGGCTCCTGAGTAGCTACAACTGTAGGCTTGAGCCACCAGTGCCCAGCTTCCAGTAGAATTTTCTTTTTTTTTTTTTTTGGTCCGGTGGTGGGGCCTGAACTCAGGGCCTGGGCACTATCCCTCAGCTCTTCAACTCAAGGCTAGCGCTCTACCACTTGAGCCACAACATCACTTCCGGCTTTTTTCTTTTTGCTTATGTGGTGCTGAGGAATCGAACCCAGGGCCTCATGCATGCAAGGCAAGCGCTCTACCACTGAGCCACCTTCCCAGCCCCTCCAGTAGAATTTTCTATGAGGAGACCACAACACTTACTATGAGCCAGACACGGTCCCAAGTACTTATTAGATCAGCTAATTTGCTCCTCTGGACTCCCTCACGAGATGCCACACATGGAAAAGTGAGGGGCCACAGGCTGTGATAGGACGGGAGTCACTGGCTGATCCTACCAAAAAACAGGACCACCAGGACTACACTGGCCCTCTTTGGAGTAAGTAAATGGTACCCGTTTCATATTGATCGCTGTACTCATCTCCCACAGGTGTACACAGTGGAGCAAGAGGCAGGGCGTATGACCCCCAAGGAGTGAAGTGCAGAGGTTACCTGTGCGCCCTTGTTCCAAGCTCTCATCGATAGCCCCCTCAGCCGCCAGCTGTGTTAGCAGATCCTGCGTCTGCTCAGCCATGGTCCTGGTATCTGCTGTCCAGCGTGTCTGTGCAGAGGAGGGCACCTCAGTGGGAGGTGGGAGTGTGGGAAAGGCCACAACCCAAGTCCAGGAGCAGCCTGGGTCAGGGGCGGATGCTGAGAAGTTCTCAAAGCCAGGGGAAAGGGATGAGTTCAAGGCTCGTACAACTGAGTGGACCTGGCAGTCCCCTCAACAGCACTGAGTGTCCCGTGGCCTGCCTGGCAGCGGCTGAAGGCTCAGGCCGCAGTACTCACCGGCTGGGGGGCCTGAGAAGGTGGAACTCTGCCCTGCAGTGCAGCAAGTCGAGTCTCTATCTCCTGGATGGAAGGAGTGGATCCCTGAAGTTCATTCTTCAGTGCAGCCAGCCGTGCTTCTATCTCTGCCTGTGAGGGTACTGCCTCTACAATTGGTATGGGGTGAGGGTGAGGGAGGAGCTTGTAAGGGTCACAGAAATCTCAGTCCCAGGAGCCCCAGACAACGTCTGGAGGTCACCCCACCTGCCCCTCCCTCCCCATTCCCCACTCACTGGGCTTGTTCTCCTGGTGGAGCCGTGCTAGGCGCTCAGCAATGACTTGGTCTTCTGGAGTCAGTCCTTGGCTCCAGGAAGTCCTAGACTTCTGCTTGATTTCCAAGGCTGCCACACGCCTGGCGGGATATAAGATGTCCCCCATTCAGATCATGCTAGGCAATCTTCACTGGCTGCTGCCCATGTGGTTGATGGGTTGTTTCAGAGGCCAAGAGGGCAGCTGGGGGCCTGAGAGTGGGCATACTCCTGGATCTAGAGTTGGAAGAGAGGCCTACCAAGGTGTCCTTGTCTGTTCCCCTTTTCCATTTGTCCTTTTTTTTCTTCAGTACTCACTTCTTATAGTTCTGAGGTGGTGACCACTTGGAAGCATTGGTAGAAGACCCTCTAGAGAGAAGAAATTTGGTGTCAGAAGTCCTACTATGGCTGGGCTATAGCTTCGCAGTAGAAGATCTGAGTTAAGATTTCCAGCACCAGGAAAAAAAAAAGTCCTGCTCTCCCACCAGTCAACCCCCCTCCCCCGCTTCCGTCTGCAAACTGGTGGCAATTATGACTACTGCCATGCTTGGCCGAACTCGTGTCCGTGCTGGTCTCTCACCTGGTCAGGACCCCGTGGCACTGCTTGCAGACTTTCTGTTGGGTGTTGCCAGCCCGAGGCACCACTGCACTGAAGCTCAGGCAGCCGGAACAGAAGGCCCTGCCACAATTCTTACAGCCATACTACAAGAAACATGAAGCAGGAAGGGTCCCACATCTCACCTCTGCCCCTCTGGGCTCCTCCCAGAGAGTAGACACCGAAGTTGTGAGTAGATGCTGGGAAGAGCAAGAGGACTGGGGTCCCTAGGGTCTAGGGAGAACTGGGCAGAGTTAAAGCATCTCTTGGTATCTAGTCTTTTTTTTTTTTGTCCATTGTGGGCCTGCGTGCTGTCCCTGAGCTCTTCAGCTCAAGGCGAGTGCTCTACCACTTGAGCCGCAGGGCCACTTCTGTTTCTCTGGTTGTTAATTGGAGATAAGAGGCTCCTGGGCTGGCTTTGAACCTTGATCCTCAGATCTCAGCATCCTGAGTAGCAAGGATTACACGCGTGAGCCTTCGGTGCCTGGCTTCATCTAGTCTTTTATTTTACTCAAATAAAACCTCGTGTAACATTAGCATGCTTTCTACTATCTTCAGTTCCCTGCCAAGGGAGTGTAGAAGACAGACAGGAAAAGCCCGGTGCTTCAGGTCCTTAACCCTTCAACAAAGGAGAATGGGAGAGTGCGTAGCCCATGCCTTCTCCGCACATGCCTTCTCTGCTACAGCAGAGATGCTGGACGTCTGGGTGAGGCATAACAATAGCTCCCATTTATTAAGTACTTCCCGAGTGCCAGGCACTAAGCACAGTACTTAAATTTCATCATCTGACTCCATCCTCATTATTTCACTTAGCCCAGTTGTTCGTCATTACCCTCCCGATTTTAGCAGCAGGCACATGACCTGCACAACCAAGGTCACCCCATGAATAAGACAGCGGACTCAAATCTGAAGCCTGACCCCCCCCCCCCCCCCCCCGAAACCCAGGCTTCCAAGTTCTTGGTGGTCCAGCCTTTCTACAAGCCATGAATTCATCCCATCGGGTTCCCAGGATCTCCGGGTCACAGAAAGTCTGCGGTTCCTCAAGGGAGGGCGACGTGGGGTGTGGGTAGTGGATGAGCAACGCCTTTGCCATCGTGCCCAGGCGGGGAGGGGAAGGCGGGTAACGGGACGGGGCGCTGGGCCGCGCTGACCGGGGGTGGGGGGGCCGGGGCGGGGCACACCTGCGCGGCGGGAACGCTCTCCCCCCGCCACCGCCTCACCCGGAACGGTGACACCACGTTACAGAAATGGAAAACCTCCGCAAAGCAGCCGCACAAGCCGGCCGCGGGACCGCAAATGCGGGGCTGCTCCCTCCGCCCCGGTCTCCCCGCCAGGGAGGGTCCACCCACCTCCTTCTTGAAGAGGGTGAACTTGACAGCGCAGCCGTAGCACCTGCTCTCCATGGCGGCTCCCGGGGCGGCTGGACCCGCAGGGCCGCTTCGGGCAGGCGGGATCGCCGCCCGGGGGCTCCTCACTCAGTCCCGCCGCCCTCCACACTCCCGCTCCAGAGCTTCCGCGGCGTCCCGGGGCTGCCGGAGTGCGGCAGAGGCGGGCGCGGGGGCTGCCGGGAGTTGTAGTTCTCTTCTGGCGGCGCGCTACTGCCGAATCACTCAACCTGGACCCAGAACACGTCAATTCCCAAAAGGCTAAGCGCGGATTGGCTGGCTTGGAGCCGGAAGTCCCGTCACACGCTAGGACTCCTGGGAATTGTAGTACAAATCTAGCCGGGACAGGAACCATGGCGGTGGCCAAGGAGCTCTTACAGATGGACCTGTACGCTCTGCTGGGTATTGAGGAGAAGGCGGCGGATAAAGAGGTGAGGGCGGTGGCGAGGAGTGCTGACTTCGAGCGGCCTAACGGCCCTCCCTTCCTATCCTGGCGCCTTGCCCGCAGCTCTCTTGGTTCGGCCGGGCTCTGGGCGGGAACGAGGGGCGACCGGACGGTGGGCTTCCAGAACTTTCCTAGGCGGTGTGGGGGCCTCAGGAGGAAGGGAAGCGCAGAGGCCTCCTCGGGCCAAGAGTTGGGCTTTCGCTGTGGTGCCAGTTAGGGAGCGGTCTGGGCTAGCCTGAGAGGAAAGCTGGCTTCGCTGCCTGGCTGCCTCTGTGCGCCTGCGCAGCCTCAGTCTGGGATTCCCGCGACCTGACTGACGACCTGCCCTTCCCCTCCCCTGCCCTCCACTGCCCTCCACTGCCCTCCCCTCCCCTGCCCTCCCCTGCCCTCCCCTGCCCTCCCCTGCCCTCCCCTGCCCTCCCCTGCCCTCCCCTCCCCTCCACTGCCCTCCCCTCCCCTCCCCTGCCCTCCCCTCCCCTCCCCTCCCCGCCCCTCCCCTCCCCTGCCCTCCCCGTCCCTCCCCTCCCCTCTCCTCCATTTATTTATTTATTTCAAATGCTAAGTCTATTTTACAGGCATTTTTCTGAGGTTACTTCTAATTTGGGAAATGTAGGAAAATAAAGGTGCTTTTTTATTTTTTACTTTTTGCCATAGCTAGAATTCATGTTTTCTATTCGGACGATGAGTTCGTAAGGATGAACTCGATGCAGAAGTCGCAGTTGCTAATTCATCGTGAGTCTAAGAATTGTTGTTGGTTGCACCTTCTGTGTGTTGAAGATGGATAGCAGTCATGACCGGAGCGCTGGGCAGTTTTGGGAATTAAAACAATTTAAAAAAATTATTTACTTTTTATACCAATGCTGGTGCTCGAACTCAGCACTTAGCTGCTGTCCCTGAGCTTTTGTGCTCAAGGCTACCACTCTACCACTTGAGCTGCAGCTCCACTTCTGGCTTTTTTGATACTTAATTGGAAATAAGAGTCTCAAGGATTTTCCTGCTTAGGCTGGCTGTGAACCAAGATCTTCATTCAGATCTCAGCCTCCTGAGTAACTAGAATTACTGTCATGAGCCACCAACTCCTAGCCCATTTTGGGAATTGTGCGTATGCCTTTGTGCTCACTGGCAGTTATAGTGAAGAAACTGCACTTCTGAGTCAGACTGCCTGTGGACTGGCTCCATGACTTATCTAGTTGGTGGCTCTGAGAAAGTGTGTAACTTTTCAGTGCTTTGATTTCCCAAAATGCAATATGAGAATGTCGACTGCCCTCTTCCTTTGCCTGCATTGTGAGGCCTGATCCATCGAAGCACTAAGCTCTTAGCAATGCCTGACACAGAGTGAGCACTCACAGTATGGTAACTCTTTTCATGTCATAGGAAGATTTTAGTTTCACTCACTCATTCATTCATTCATTTGTGCTGCTACTGGGTTTGATTTAGGGCCTGGGACCTGTCCTTGAGCTTTTTCTCTCAAGGCTGGGACTTTCCCATTTGAACCACAGCTCTACTTCTGGCTTTTTGGTGGTTAATTGAAGATAACAGTTTCATGGACTTTCCTGCCTGGGCTGGCTTTGGACTTATACTCAGATCCTCAGATCTCAAACTCCTGAGTAGCTAAGCTTTCTTAAAATTTTAATTTGTTGTTGTTGTTGTTGGGGCTTGAATTCTGGGCCTGCGCGCTGTCCTTCAACTCTTCAGCTCAAGGCTAGTGCTCTACCACTTGAGCCATAGAGCCACTTTGGCTTTCTAGTGGTTAAATTGAACATAAGGGTCTCATGGATGTTACTGACTGGGCTGGCTTTGAACTGCGATCCTCAGATCTCAGCCTCCTGAGTAGCTATAGGGTACTCAGGATTATACGCATGAGCACCCCACTTTTTAAAACTTTTTAAAGGGGAGTTACCAGGATTTTCAATTCAGGATATCACATTTGCTGGACAAAAATGTCTGTGCCTCCATTTCTCTCTGTGTGTGTGTGTGTGTGTGTGTGTGTGTGTGTGTGTGTGTGTGTGTGTGTGTGTGTGTGTGTGTGTGTGTGTGTGTGTGTGTGTGTGTGTGTGTGTGTGTGTGTGTGTGTGTGTGTGTTGTGGGGCTTTAACTCTGGCCAAGTGTCTGTACCTCCATTTCTTTGTGTGTGTGTGTTTGTGTGTTGTGGGGCTTTAACTCTGGCCAAATGTCTGTGCCTCCATTTGTGTGTGTGTGTGTGTGTGTGTGTGTGTGTGTTGTGGGGCTTTAACTCTGGCCCTGGGTGCTGGCCCTCAGCTCTTCAGCTCAAGGCTAGCACTCTACCATTGAGCCACAGTGCCACTTCCTGTTTTTTTCCTGCCCTGGCTGGCTTTGAACCTTGATCCTTAGATCTCAGCTTCCTGAGTAGGATTACAGGCGTGAGCCACCCGCGCCCAGCTTCGATTTTGTTGTCGTTGTTGTTTGTCTCATTATGTAGCCTAGGTTGCCTTGAGATCCTCACCTCAGACTTCTGAATATAGCACGGTACCTGGCTTTTTTTGCATTATAAAGTCAGATGTAAATCACCCACAACTTGAGGGTAAGGATGTCCTCTACACTTAACCTTCTAACTCATTACAGTCCTGATAGATCAGTGCTGATTCACCTAACAACCAGTAATTCTCATTTGAGGTAGGAGCCAGGGGAGAAAGAGATAGGAAATCGGGTAGAACAAAAGTGAGGGTTGCCAGAGTTCACTATTTAATTCAAATTAGAGTCATGGAGTTCATGGCCAGTCCATGTGGGTGTGGTAGGACTTGAGGACTAAATAAAATATCACTTTTTTCTTGGAACTCACACAGTATAGTAAGCGTTGAACTCAGAAATAAACTGAAAGACATTCAATAAATATATGAGGGCTGGGCGCTGGTGGCTAATGCCTGTAATCCTGGCTATTCAGAAGGCTGAGATCTGAGGATGACTGTTCAGAGCCAGCCCAGGCTGGATGTTCATGAGACTCTTTTTGTTTGGTTGGCTATAGGGCTTGAACTCAGGGCCTGGGCATAACTCCACTTGTGGTTTTCTGGTGGTTAATTGGATATGAGACTCTTGTGGACTTTCCTGCCTAGGCTGTCTTTGAACCTCAGTCCTCAGATCTTAGCCTCCGGAGTAGCTGGGATTACAGGCATGAGCTGTAGATGCCCAGTTCATGAGATTATCTGTAATTAACCAGAAAAAAGCTTGAAGTAGAGCTGTGGTGGTAGAGCATCAGCGTAGAGTGAAAAAACTAAGGGATAGTGCTCAGGTTCCTGAGTTCAAGCACAGTACAAGCGCACATACACACCAAATTGTATGCAAGGACAAGCTGTGGGAATGAAGAGAAAGACTGGATTTTTATGTTTCGGGATAGGGGATGACTTCCTGAGGAGGTGCTTTTGTGCAAGACCTCAGGGAAGGAAAGATCTGTAACTGCAGAATCACAGAGACTATTTACAGCCTCTGCTGCTTTTATCAAGCCAGAGAGGCTGTGAAATGCATCCATCTAATGTGTGCTCATTTAGTGAGTGAGCAGGCCCAAACTCGAGCCCAGTTCAAATTCTTTCCAGTCTATATGTACGTTTCTCTTTTGTCTGTAGCAGCCTTGTTAAGCAGGTGCTTAAATTGTGTATGTGGGGGGGAGGGGGGCTTTTTCTGTTTATGTGGTGCTAAGGAATCGAACCCAGGGTTTCATGTATGCTGGGCAAACACTTAACCATAAAGCCATATTCAGCCCCCTTCTCCCCTCCTCCCTGAGCTTTTTTTGGTAAAAGCTAGTGCTTTACCACTTGAGCCACAGCTTCACTGCTGGCATTTTGGTGATTAATTAGAAATAACAGTCTCACAGACTAGTGTTTTTGCTGGTCTTGGGACTTGAACTGGGCTGGCTATTGTCTCTGAGCTTTCTTGTTCAAGGCTAATATTCTACCACTTGAGCCACAGCTCCACTTCTAGCTTTGTGGTGTTTAATTGGAGATGAGTCACACAGACTCTATGGGCTGGCTTCAAACTTTGATCATCAGATCTAAGCCTGAAGTAGTGAGGATTACAGGCATCTGCTACTGAGCTTTTTTGCTCAAGCCTGGAATGCTATCACTCTAGCCACTCTTCTACTTCCAGCTTTTTGGTAGTTAATTAGAGATAAGAGGTTTACAAACTCTTCTTCCTGGGACTGGCTTCAAACTGCAGTTCTCAGAATTCAGACTCCGGGCCTGGGCGCTGTCCTTGAGCTTTTTCACTCAGGGCTAGTGTTCTATCACTTTGAGCCACAACACCACTTTCAGTTTTTCTGGTGATTAACTGGAGATAAGAGTCTCACAGCCTTTCTTGCTCAGGCTGGCTTCAAGCTGGGATCCTCAGATCTTGCCTCCTGAGTAGCTTGGATTACAGGAGTAAGCCACTGCTGCTGGCTATCTCAGAACTTTTGTGCTCAAGAACAGTGCTCTACCACTTGAATCATAGCTCCACTTGTGGCTTTTTTTTTTTGGTCGGTTGTGGGGCTTGAACTCTGGGCTTGGGTGCTGTCCCTGTGCTCTTCAGCTCAAGGTCTTGAGTGCTCTACCGCTTGAGCCACAGTGCCACTAACGGTTTTCTAGTGGTTCTATTGGAGATAAGAGTCTCATGGACTTTCCTGCCTGGGCTGGCTTTGAACTGTGATCCTCAGATCTCAGCCTCCTGAGTAGCTAGGATTACAGACATGAGCCATCGGCACCCGGCAACTTGTGGCTTTTTATAGTTAATTGGAGATGAGAGTCTTACGGATTTTCCTGCCTGGTTGGCTTCGAATCATGATTCTCAGATCTCAGCCACTTCTTTTTGCCAGTCTTGGATCTTGAGCTCAGGGCCTGGGCACTGTCCCTGAGCTTCTTTTTGCTTAAGGTTAGCGCTCTACCACTTGAGCCACAGTGCTACTTCTGGCCTTTTCTGTTTATGTGGTACTGAGGAATTGAACCCAGGGCTTCATGCATTCTGGGCAAGCACATTCCCAGCTCCTCAGATCTCAGCCTT